AATACAATTTTAAAGAGGTTTTACTTTCATTGTACAGGGCACTGGTTAGGCCACATTTGGAATATTGTGTTCAGTCTTTGTCTCCTTCCCTTAGGAAGAACATTGAATTGTTGGAAAGGGTTCAAAGAAGGGTTACTAAAATGTTTCCTGGGATGGAGGGGTTGTTCATACGATGAGAGGTTGAAATCTCTCAAATTGTTTTCTCTTGAAAAAGAAGAGTTAGGTAGGATCTGATTGAGGTGTTTAAGATTATAAAGGGAATTGATGGTGCTGATGTATCATTTTTTATATTTAACAATGAGAATAGTAGGACTAGGGGACACAAATATAAATTTGGGCAAGGTAGGAGTCATCTTCAGCTTTTTTCATTCTTTTATTTTTCTAATGGGGTGGTTGGCCTTTGGAATGGGTTACCTTCAGATGTTGTAGAGGCAGTAAATTTAAGTGAATTTAAGAAAAAGCTTGATAAGTATGTGAATAAAAAGGGCTGCCTTTAAAAATTTTTATTTTATTTTTTAAATCATTTTAATTTAGTTTGAGTCTGGAACAGCCAAGATGTACCAATATGTCCCATATTGTCCCAGAATATTATGTTATTGTGTGTTCAGTTTACAGATACATTAATGAATTCACATAACAGAAGTTCCTTCTCAGCTTGCTTTTACTAAGAATAAAATAATTTCAGGAGTTTGTGAAGGGCTACAGTGAAACTTGAAGCCAAATTAAAGACACTGCAGATAAATTCTAGATCTGTATTAAAGATAACTTGCATAAGAATTATGTTGTGATATTTTCCTCAGTTCTAAAAAAGAAAAACTGCTTATGAAAATACATTGTGTTAAAATGATAATAGAGATTGCACAATTATGATGGTATGTTTGACATTCCATGTAACTCAAAATTCCATATGAAACTGTCATGAACTTCTATAAAATTAACATATATCTAAACAACATATTTTCAAGTGGGTTTTACAAAGTTTTATATATTCATTTATTTATTTTTTGTGGGGTGGGTAATATGTATTGTTATATAAAAATTTGTAGTGACTAATTTGAAAAACGAGGTTGTGCTTCTAAGAAAATGGATAATTGTGGTTGGAGCTGTATTTTTTTAATAAGTCTATTTTATTAGAATGGGCATTTTAACAATGATTTTGAAGTAATCATTAGATAGGTATGTATCAGGTTGTAACTAAAGGAAAGAAAATTATGTCATGGAAAAGTCTAATATAACTTGTATGAATGATTCACTATACTCCATTATAATCAGGGGCATTGAGAGCCAGTTCAGGCTTCATGGTCAGTAATATCATCGGGCTTCCCTTTCATTCAATTTATTAACTTTTGCTGATTTTTCATAAAAGAAATTTAGGTGACAAATTTCTTCATGAATCTATGAAAAAGTAGTAACTATTTTAGCTCATTAAGTAGTATGCATTTCTAGTGGGATTTGGAATAATCCACTGCTGGGCCCCTCAACAGACTTCGGGTCAGCTGCCCCTTGTCCTCCCCCTCATCATCAGCCCTGTTTATAATTCTCTGTCACTTTAGTAGAGTCAATTTCAGTCAAATGAACATTGGATTATGGTTGAAAGTATTGATAACAGTGAGCAAATCCAAATGGTAACTCATTGTATTTTTATCGTTAAAAGTTTGGTTTTATGACATTGCACACTCCTAGTTTTGTTGGTATTTTAAGTTGGTTACTTTATATACTAAGTTTAGCTTTCATTTCTGATCTATATAGCTAGTTTGATCAGAAGTTATTGATAATGTATTGTAGATCTCCATGAAATTTGTTTTTGCATTCATAGTGAGTGTCTGCTAATGAAATATTATTTGAAGAGAATATTTGCAAGCTTTGAGCCAAAAATAACTCAC